CTTCCTCCCCAAGTTGATTTGGTTATGGTATTTCATCATAATAGGATCTTTGATCCTAAGGCAAGGATCAAAGAAAGAACTCAACATGTAAGCCTCTTGGAAGGCCAAAGAGGAGGAGAGAACTCAGAGTTTGACTTGTTAGGTTTCTTTTGGGCTAGCTATTCAAATTCCTGAGACAGTCTTAGGAGTGCAGTTTTGGGTCAAGAGCTCATCCTCTCTCCCAGTTAGTGTGGCCAGAGGTATGTCAGGCTGTGATTGGCAGTTCCCTCAGAACTATATGTAGTAGGCCGAGAGTTCATCCAATGAGGTGATAGGAAAGAAAATGGTCAGTAATAACATTAAATAAAAATAACCTCCATTTCAGGCTCATTTTATGTCTATAAAATAAAAATGCACATGTAACAGATGTCCAGCCTTGCTTTCCCCTCTGAGCTGTGGCACACTCCCACCTGGCTAGAGAACTCCACTGCTGCAGCACTGCCTTCGAGACACCATGCCCCTTCTGTCCATTTTTCAGCGGCTTCCATCACTTACGTTCCAGCTAGTGAATTCCTGGTTATTTTTCTCTTCTTAATGTTGTCCTCCATGTGGACATGAATAACCTCCAGGTGGGCAAAGCATGCTCTCCCCTCAGGTTTAGAATACTTAGGTCTTAACCCCTAGGTGTCTTCCTGACAAAGTCATTCTTGATCTGAATTGAGAAAGATGTTTTTGTTATTAATACAGCACTGGTTATTTTATGACAGTAGAGGAAGATGTATCGGTGATAATTTTAACTTACTTCCCTATTCGCCAACAGTGTTTAACTTAGCAGTGAGAAATGCCAGCGCTCACTGAAGAAAGTGGGAGCAGAGGAGACGTTTGGAATTTGAAATCCGCACTGTGTGCCAGCAGGGCTGTTTCCATCTGCATTATAATGTATCAGTCTACTTCTTGTTGTTTTCTTACTTTGCTACTAGACATGAGGTGTTTGTAGGTCAAGTTGGCCTCCAGTTTGGCATTCTCCCACCTGCACCTCCTGAGTGCTGAGACTATGGACAGGTGCCACTACATTTGACCTCTTAGTATATTGCTAGCTAGCTAATATGAATATTTTTCTCAGATTATGAGCTTTTTAAAATACAAAGTCATTTATATTAGAATTATAATGTATATTATATGTAGAATTAGATGATTAATAGAAGATATATTAATTACAATACTACTTGGCCAATCACTTAGACTTAAGAGAATGTATTTGTTTTTTCAGAATGTCCTAGAATCAGCATATAAAAATGATATTTATCAGCTCTTGGAACAGTTGATCCTGTGACTTTAACTGATACCATGCAGATCTACAGTAATTTGTTTTTAGTTCATATAGTCAGTATTGTCAGTGTTGTGGGTCAACATTTCAGATTAACACTCAGAAAAACAGTTCACTGTATGGAAGATTGATTCCTTTCTAATAGAAAGACTCATCATATATGGTTATGAGTTCAAGTTCATCTGTTCCTTCTCCTTACACTGTATGTAAATTATCTTTTATGTTTGTCTGATTAGTTCATTTTTTAAAACCTTAAGAAATAATAACAAATTTTGGCAAAAATTTTATCTCAAAACTTTAGGGGCTCAGTTGGGGAATTTTTATATAATAATCTTCCATGATACTGCTGTTGTGCTGTTGCCCTTGTTTTAAAGAGAATAGTAACATCTAAGAGAAAAGTAACAGAAAATCAATTTGAAGCTGGGGCAGTGGTGGCATACTCCTTCCATCCCAGCACTAAGGAGGCAGAGGCAGGAGTTTGAGGCCAACCTGGTCTACAAAGTGCGTTCCAGGACAGGCTCCAAAGCTGCACAGAACAGCTGTCTCAAAACAGAAAAACAAAAACAAAAACAAAAACAAAAAAAAAAAAGAAAAAAGAAAGTCCACTGAGTCACCTCTGGCCAAGAGACTTGCTTCCAAACAGCCTCCCAGCGCGTCCTTTCCCTGTCAGGTCTCAGAACAGGTACAGGCTGAGTTTCAAATGTTAGGTCAGCTTCCTCTTTGTTGACAGGTTGTAGGGAACACCAAGAACCGTCGTAGCTCCTTTTTCTTTTGTTGTTTTGTTTATTTCTGCCATATATGTGCAGTCGTGCTTTGCAGTGACCCAAACAGCTCCTGAGGTACAGCTGTTTGTATTTCTCTCCAGTGGGAAGGAGAGTAGGCACGCTTTGTGACGTGTGACTAAAAATACCAGACTGGGCTCTTTTCACCTACAGATGTTTTAATGTGCTTAACACTATCCAATACTAGCAAGGGAGAGGGTCTGAATATCACAGCAGGATCTGATTGGCTTTTTCAGATCACTGCCTTTATTTGCTGTTTGTGAAAAAGCTTAATCCAATGCTGTAGTTGAGGCTTCCTGCTGCGCCCAGGGGTAGTTTTTCTTCTTTGTGCAGCCTGCTCCTCCAGCATCAGCATGAAGGCTATAAAGTATCCCGTGTGGTTGCAGGGGAGAAAAGGAAGGGGAAAGAGACTGTCTGTCCATTCGTACTAGGTAGTTTTCTTTCACAACAAAAGAAGAGGACCTTAATATAAATACTTAAGTACTGTTCTCACTGTGTCCTCTAGTCAGTGCTTTGCAAATGAGGTATTTTTGGTTATAGCTGTAATTACTTTGCATGGATTTATGCTGTGCTTATCATTTTCATCTGACTTAGGCCTTATTGCTTTCAGAGTTGATACCTTTTTGACCTTTTAAAAGAGCTCTGGAAATGGAGGGAGGCAGAGGTAAATTCTAATTCTCCTCACTTCTGTGATACTTATATGCTTACCCCAAGGTGGGGCTTCGCCTTCTGTGTACTGGCATAGTAATTTACGATGAGCTGAGATGATAGGTACCTGTCTGGATTTTCAGTGCGCTAACGAATTAGATCACAGGTTTAGCTGCGTCTGCTCTAGCACTACAGTGCTTGGCCAAAAAAGAATAGTTCTCATTCCAGAAATCAACGCAACATCGAGAATCTAGCAGTTATGTTTAGTTCAAAATGCTGTCACGGGTTGACGAGATGGCCTAGTGGTGAAGGAGCTTGCCAAGCCTGACACCTGGAGTCTGACACTGGGACCTGCGTGTGAAAGGAGAGAGCCCAGTTGAGGAAGTTCGCTCATCTCCACATTCACACAGTCTCTCCTCTCTCTCTCTCTCTCTCTCTCTCTCTCTCTCTCTCTCATACACACACACACACACACACACAACTTTTCTAACATTTGAAACAACAACAATACACAGGTTAAAGAAAGAATATTAAGAGCTGCAAAGGAAAAAGGCCAAGTAACTTATAAAGGTAAACCGATCAGACTTACACCTGACTTCTCTATGGAAACCATGAAAGCCAGAAGGTCCTGGATAGAGGTTCTTCAAAAACTAAGAGACCATGGATGCAAACCCAAACTACTATACCCAGCCAAGCTATCGTTCACTATCAATGGAGAAAACAAGACATTCCAGGATAAGAACAAATTTAAACAATACGTAGCCACAAATCCAAGCCCTACAGAAGGTAATAGAAGGAAAATCGCAACCCAAGGAATCTAACATTGCCAATACTGCCTACAACAACTCAGGCATCTAGCAACCCTTCACCAGCACAACTCAAAGAAGGGAGACACACAAACTCTAATACCAATAACAATAAGAATAACTGGAGTAAATAACCACTGGTCATTAATATCACTTAATATTAATGGTCTCAATTCACCTATAAAAAGGCACAGGCTAAGAGATTGGATATGAAACAACAGACTTCAGTAAAATACTAAGTTCTAGTGAGGGCAAACATCCACAGACACGATGCCTTACAATGTCTTTGTGTTTTCTTTCTGGAAACAGATTTCAGGTTTTAGGGAGCAGGGGGAGTGTTTTTAAGTGTATGAAATAGATCTTTCTCTCGCTTTGTAAATAGAGAAAAATATGATTTCTGTTTGAGTGAACTCAAAAAGGACAGGGGCAGAAGTCCCAAGATAGAACTTTCTTTCCCTGGGTTTTTACAAATGGTCCCACTATGGACAACTGCTGTTCAAGAAAACAACTCTGTGAAAAGGGAAGTTGTTGTACATTGAGAACTTCAGTTTATATCTTTTGAGTTCAAGATTATAGGGTTGTTTTTTTTTAAGTCTGAGCTTTGCATAAGTCAGCAGTTCTTGGCCCATACTCAAGTTTTATTTGCATTTCAGTGACAAGGGTGTGTTTGTGTGTGAGTGCATGGGCACACATCCTTGTAGTAGTCTGCATCCATGAGTAATACAGTAACTGTAGGTTTTTCTCAGTAAGGAAATACCATAAAGCCTCCTGGTGTTAGCGTTTGGATTAAACCTTTTCATAATCTTAGCTCACTAAAGATTTAGCCTGTGCAGCACTCAGAAGCGAGTAGTTCATAGGATTATAAACGCTGTCATGTGGAACGTAGAAGTCAAGGGCACTTATTTAGTGGACTTTAGATGTCCTTCACAATCACCCCAGTATTTCATTTTAGTGCTGACATATTCTGAACTTAAATTTGAGTATTACAACTTTCAAATTTTATGAAATACATTTTAGCAAGTATGTTATGGAAGGTCTTGCTTTTATTTAATTAGATGGCTAACCAGTATCTATTATAAGAGATCTTCCATTGTTATTTGATGTAGATCATCTGGGCTGGCCTGATGATATAAGTTAGTTACTTTTGTTTAAATGTATGCTTTATAGGACCTGTTTTCACAAACTGAGACTAACTAGGATTTTCTTTTACTGCTTTTAGAGAAGTTACTTTTTAAAATTAATTCTATTTGTAAATGCATAATCCTTTAATTTTGCAGTTTTCACCAAGTCTCTCTAAGTTTTATTATCTTGTAACACATTAATAAATATTTTGTTGTTGTTATTGTTTTGCTTTTTCAAGACAGGTTTCTCTGTGTAGCTCTGATTGCCCTGGAATTTACTTTGTAGACCAGGCTGGCCTCAAACTCAGAGATCCACCTGCCTCTGCCTCCCGAGTGCTGGGATTAAAGGTGTACGCCACCACTTCCTTTCTAACAAATACTTTAAAGTAGATTTTCCAATATTGCCAGAGAAATAGATGAACCTTCTGGCTCATTTCACTAGTAACTTCTGTACTAACGGAGACTGCTGCAGTAGTTGATTACTACTTCGGTGCACCTCATTGTCTTCATCTCAGAGAAAAACGAAACACTAATAGACTAGCATATAGCCTCAACTTTTGGAAACATGCAACTTTTACTGCGTTAAAATATAATTGGTTTCTTTGTCTTCGTGCATTAAAAACAGGAGGAAAGGCTGGCCTGGCCGAGCCAGGTGTTTGTTGTTGGCAGCCTGCTCCCTAATGAGTGCTCTCGTAGAGCAGCTGCCTACTAGTCGGCTTTGTGTGGCCTATTGTTGCTGCACGCCCCTCGTTAATACACATGCTGCCCGGGGCAGACCCAAGAATGACATCAACTTGCTTATCTTAGAAACCTACGAACCTGACTCAGGGTGCTGAGGTTGTCTTGCATCTGCCTGACTGACTAATTGTGAGCTCTCTGGCCTGTGATTGGCTGTAGTTCCACTCGGTAATAGGTTAAGCAAAGACATTGCCGTCCCATCTGTTCAACCACTCATTGTTCTTCTTGCCTGCCTGGAAGTCTGCAGCTAGAATTGTGTCGTTACTGCTGAAGCTGCCACAGAAACCAATGTCTTTGTACTTTCCTGCTAATGTAAGTATCTGTGCTACTTGCTGCTTTTTGGAAGTTAAACTTTGCTGTAACAGCTATCATTTCGTTTCTGTGAAGGCTATGTAGCACCACAAAAGAAAACATGCAAATGTGTTAGTGTCAGTACACCAGAGAATCTGGTTCTTTCTGTAAAAATATGTCTGTGAAGCTGAGTTTTATATATTTATGTTTGGAGATTTTACAAACGATTACTTGTGCCATGGGTGTTAGGCACACTCATTTGGAACTTTAGACAAGTTATAAGGAAGTTCTAATATCATGCTAAACAACAAATTTAGATTTTTATCTTGTCACATGCTTGTGTTTCTTAAGGCATCACTGCCATGGCTAGTTTCTGTGAAATGCTGGTCAGGTTCAGTAGATTTTCAATTGTGTTCAGAGACTAGTTTGCAGAGATGGGCTGCTGCTGATAGATGTTTCCAATAGCTGCTTCTAAAGATGATGATTAAGCGTTCAGTTGCCTTGTCAACGATTTCATTATTCATGTAGAATTTATTTTCTCGTGTGTTAATTTCAGATATTAGATTGAAGATGCCATTCTAGTTACTTTAAAGAGTTCTGTAATGGGGGAGTGAGGAGGAGACAAAGACTTTCTTCTGTCAGTTTGGGGGTAGGGGAGAGAAAGAACATAAAGGGTTAAAAGAGAGGTTTTCGTTTCTACCACATGCCCTATTGTGTGAACATATGCATATGTCTATTGAAAGTTTTCAGAAGATAGGCAGGCCACCAGTTGCTGGTCTCCTGCAGTTCCAGTAGACATCTGTTGCCCCAGAACATTAACCAATCTGTTCAAAGGGACATCCTTCCTTTGTTAGCTAGAGAGATGCAGACAACAGTGCTCGCTCAAATACAATGGTGATTAAATACGCAAAGACCACAGCAGTAGGAATTTATTACATATTCATTATTTTATTTTCATTGTTCTTAGAGTATAGCCATTTGGATGACAACCAAACCTATTTTCATGGCATTGTAACTTTACAAATAAATAATTTGACGTGACAAGTTTATAGTCTAATATTCCTGATCACTGTAATGCTCTTTAGGATGCTAAAAACTAGCTTTACCTGGTTTGAGGTGAGTTGTTATCCAAGTGATCTCGTGAGAATTTTCCGTCCTTTTTCACTAGAGGAATTGGGTATATGCGGTAAATTTCAGGCCCGTGCCCTTTACGTCCTAAAGCCTGCTTTAGGACCTGCAGTTATTTCTTGACAGAAGAATGAGTTTTTAGCAGCAGCATCTATGAAATTAACATAATTCATTCTTTTTCAACAAATACTATTATTTAATTTTAGTAGATAGTCTTTATCAAGAAAAAAAGCAAGTTTCTGATATAATATCTAGAGGTAATCTATGGACTTTTGAAACTGAAAAAGTCATTTAGATTGTTGTGTTTTGGTCCAGCCCTTTTGTGTTGAAGGATAGAGTGTGTAAACACTGTGTGTTGTGACTCTGTTTCTTCCCAGAGTTTTCCAGAAGCTCTGGAAGTGCAAACTGTTGACCTTATGTGTGACGCTTCGGCTCTGCGTCTGCACGAACAGAGGAAAGCCGTCCTTACTAGTGGATATTTAGTCAAGGTTTATGAATACTTGCATAAGCTTGGGTCTGACTGAATAATGCAAAACTTAAAGTCTAAACCATTCAGGGTTTAGAAATTAAGAAAAAGATTATTCATTACATATGTTAAGTAACAATTCTGTTAAGTCTTTTCTTTTGAAAACTTAGTCATTGTTAAGAGGCTTCACAGAAGTAAATCCCATGGTGTTCTTTATTCTGTAAAAGGTTTTATGTTCACTCCTTGTAAGCTGTGCAACTTCTACTGCTGTGTGTATCTCTTTTTAAGTCTTTAGGCTAAGGTTTAAGTTTTACTGAGTAATTTTAAGATACTTTTTACATGCCTTAAGTCATGCCAAGTTTTTACTAGCCACAACTTGATCAAAGTGTTCTACAGACTGAAGCTTTAAAATCCAGATCCTTGCCATTTCAGTCAATACAAATTAGGTTATATCAAATGTTAACTTGAAACTTAGACCATTTATTTTTAACATTAAGAAACATTGTATATTATTGAAAAATAATGTAAAATATTATTCAAATAGTGTGTACAAATGCCATGAATTATCTCAAGTTGAAATTATTAGTGTTTGTTAACTATTTTACTATAAAGACTATTAAATGACTTAATATTATAAAGCAACCAAACATCCACATCTCCCTGTCCTGTCACTATAGCCATGTGCGAAGTACATAGAAGAACAGATTCAGGAACGACCGCCGGTCAAACATTACATAGATTTATTGAAATGCAGTTTTAGAGTGGTCTGACTTTCTGTTTCAAAACTTTACAGTGTCTGGGTTTGTCACTTTGAAAAGTGAAATTAAGAAAAGCCATATATCCTTCAATCAGAAATTTTCATTCTAATGATTTTCACTGTGTGTATTTTCTGTGTATTCATCATGTCCAATATAGGACTCCTAGCTCAAAAACACAACAAAACTGTTCAATATTAAAATAATATTCCCTAGTTCAACTCAGCAATTTGATCAGCAAGTCATTATCTTGAATTATCTCACAACAGCACTTATGCAAAACCAAAACTTTTCAGAGGAGATCAAAAATGTTTCCCATTAAATGCACTTCCTGAAGTCAGAACAGATTGTAGGGTTTACAGAACAATGATGTCGGAGCTTCCAGATTGGTTTGGCAGCTGCATTGTTCTCTGAGGGTAAACCAGACGCACTTAAGTCCCAGTCTCTTTTATAGGCTTTTGTTCATACCAAATTATTCTTTCACTGTGCTAGCATTCATGATGGCATGTTAAAGAAGTGCAGCTTAGCAACCATCTTCTGGTTGCCAGGCAGCCCAGCTTCCAATAGATTTTCCTTGTTTAAGATACTTTTGGTAGGAGCTCTACTATGGCCATGGTGTAGATTTTTCTTTTAACTTTATCCCATTATTGGGATGCTGTTGTGATTTGTTACTTGCATTATGGTGTTAGTACATTACTGTAGTTAATAAATCACAGGGCGTACAGATTTACTTTCAAAATCCCTTCCTTAATTCTGAGTAATTGGGCCATGCATATCCATATTAATAGAAAAAAGTTGAAATGGACACAGCTTCATAATGAAGCAGATGCTCTTTATCAGTGGGGCATCCAGGATCTAGGAACGCTGGGTGTTTCTTTAGTGAGTGTTGTATTAGTAGAACAGTGAGTGGTATTCAAGTTGCTAGCAAAGAACAAATCCGGGTTAAAAAAAAAAATCCTATAGAAAAGTGTAGGACTTCTACCCCAAGGAAATACAGAAATTTTGTATTTTTTAAGATTGCATATTTTCTGGTATTTATCATGCTTAGTAAAATTCAATACACTGTGTACAAATATTTGATCCTGTAGTGGGTTTATTGGATAAACTTTAAAATTTCTCAGAATATCAGCATTTTCTTTTAATGTTTATATAATAGCTTTCTTCTGATATATATTTTGTTGAACAGATTGAGTTTAAAAGTAAATGTTTCTCCATTTTTCTTCATTAGATTATTCAAATGGGGTTTTTTATGACAACCTTAGGCTTAGCTACCCCTGACTTGTTAATTAATTGTAGAACACCAAAGTTGTCTTAATCAATAAACTTCTGGTGTTGATGTAGTCCTCATAATGAAGTATAAAGAGAACATAACCTTTCTTTTCTGACCTGTCCCTAGTAGAGAAATAAATTATTTCCAATGGGTCTTAAAGGAAAGTAATATGACAACAGAAACATTTTAAGCAGGGAAAATGGAAAAAAGGCAAGCTCTTAACAAAATGCAGGTGTGTTGTTAACTAATCTAATGCAATACAAAAATATGTTTTACATAAAAACCAAGACACTGACGTGACAGTATACTTGTTTGCATCAGAGTTTATGTACAATATTTATTCCACTGTTCTCAATAAATGTATATAGAAAAAATTTTCTTAAATGAAATATACTACAATGTCTCTGCCACCTAATAAAGGATCATAATACTTAAAGTATCTTCTGTTACAGTTCTCAGTATTCATGAAGTCATAATTATTAATGAAAAATTATATTTATCTCAAAATGGAAGGAAATCAGCCTTTTTTTTTTTTCTCCTTCTTGAGACAGGGTCTCTCTGTAATGCAGACTGGATTGAAACTCACTGTGTAGCCCGAACTAATCCCAAACACACCATCTTCATGTCTCAGTGTCCCAGTCACTGGTATCATGCATACAGCAGCATGCTTGGCCAGAGATGTAATTAGCTTTGTGATTATTCAGTTCCTTACTGGACATTTTAGACTATGTGCCCCTTCATTTCCGTGTGTAAATTAATTTATTTTTTAAAGATTTTCATATATGAGTACTAGATTTACATCATTCTCTCCCTCTCCTTCCTTTAGCTTCCTTTATGTGCCCCTTCCTTTTCAAATTCATGATCTCTTATTCTTTGTTACACACCTACACATCTGCACACATGAGAGAGAGAGAGAGAGAGAGAGAGAGAGAGAGAGAGAGAGAGAGAGAGAGAGAGAGAATAAATAACCTTTGTAAAAACCTCAGTTTACTTTTTTGCCTTGGAGGGACTCATGAAAAGGATTCTTGGCAAGTTTGCTATGAGTGATGAGAGGCTTCAAACAAAATACAAAATAGACATTCAAACAATAAATATGGTACATTAACTATATTACATTTTCTCTAGGAATACGGGGTGCTGTGCATTCAAGAATACAGGAAAAGTAGCAAAGTGGAATCAAGTGTGCGGAACAGCTTCATGGGCCTGAAGGATCACCTGGGGCATGACCTTGGCCACCTTTATATGGAGAGCACTGACCCACAGAGAAGTGCAGCTGTGCCTTGGCCTATGGCAGAGAAGCCAACAATGGATACAGCCAATTCAGGGAAGGAAGAAAAAGAAGTGTCTGAAGAGAACGTGGGCTCCGGTGACTCTGAAGAAAGCACAAATTCTGATCATGAGTCAGGACAGCTGAGTAGCCTTTCAGTAGAGCCATGCTTATTAACCAAGGCTCACAGACAGTTATGTCGGTCTCCCTGTTTAGAGCCCCACTTACTCAAACACAGTGACATTTTGCAAGACTTTAAACCAGATGGGTCCCAGACTCCATCCAAGGAAGTAAAGAAACCCCCTGACGTAGTTCGAGAATACCAAACAAAACTGGAGTTTGCACTGAAGTTAGGTTATTCTGAAGAGCAGGTCCAACTTGTGCTGAACAAACTTGGTACTGATGCTTTAATCAATGACATATTGGGAGAACTTGTCAAACTTGGAAATAAAAGTGAAGCGGATCAGACAGTTAGTACTATAAACAGTGTCATGAGGGAAGCATCGTCTCTGGAATCTCAGAGGTCTGAGTCTCCGATGCAAGAGATTGTAACAGATGATGGCGAAAATCTGAGACCAGTGGTTATTGATGGCAGCAATGTGGCAATGAGGTGAGTTGTTTTGGTTTTTGTTTTTTAAAAAAGGATTAATTGAAGATATTACTAAATCTTTGGAAGTTATTTCCAGTTCTTTGGCTGTTCATAGTCGTTAAAATCAATATTACTAAACATCTCTCAACATTAGCTTTTAGAAATACTCATTTTTAGATATTTCTGGTTTTGTCTTTCTTCCTCTGGCTAAATTGCTATGACTTAAAAATTAGTGTGTGTTACCAGCTTAGTGTTGATGAGTTTCAAAAGAACTCAAGTATGATGGCATTCATCAGTTCTGAGAATCTTAGCCAAATAGCCTATTTTTTATGAAAATAACTTAGGAAAACTCAGTTCTTCTGGAAGATAAAGGTCTGTTCTATTGGTCTGATAACAACGCAAAGGTGCATTCTTCAGCTCTGTGCTCAATTCAAGAAACGTAATTCAAACATGATTCTCTAGGAACTGAGGGGAAAATGAGGGGAAAACATTTCATTCAAGTGAATTTGATGCCCTAAAGTTTAGAGTGAATCTAAATTCAGTCACTCTAGGTAAGTGCTCACAATATTCCCTGCGTTTGAGGATAAAAAGACACAAAAAGAAGATCCTCAAGACCTTAGAGCTTCATTTTCCTTCCTTCCTTCCTTCCTTCCTTCCTTCCTTCCTTCCTTCCTTCCTTCCTTCCTTCCTTCCTTCCTTCCTTCCTTCCTTCCTTCCTT